CTCTTTGTTTGTTTTTGTCTTTTTTGAGACAGGGTCTCCCTGTGCAGTTCAGGCTGGCCTTGTGCTCACTTTGCAGCCTAGGCTGGTCTTGAACTCGCAACCATCCTTCTGCTTCAGCCTCCTGAGTGCTGGGATTATAAGCACGTGCCACGACACCCAGCTGAAAAGAGACTGTTAATGTATCTCAAAGAGAAATCCTTGGGTTCAGTCCTTCATATCACAAAGAGAGAAAAAGAAAGAATGAACAATAAATGTTGATAGGATGTGGGACAACAGGACCCTTTCTGCACTGCTGGTGGGAATATAAATTATTACAGCTACTATAGAAATCAGTACAGACATTGCTCAAAAAACTGAGAAAAATCTTTCCATTTTATTCAGCTGTACCATTCCTCTGTATATAATCAGAAGAATTAAAGTCGACATACTATAGAGATGCCTGGTATCCATGTCTGGTGCAGTGCAGTGTACAACAGCTAAGCTAGGGAGCCAGACTAGGTACCATGAATTGTTTAATTGATAAAGACATATTATTATATTATCATATATAATATATAAATATTATTCAGCCACAAAGAAGAACAAAATCTTGTCACTTGAAGGACAATGGATGGAAATTATCATGCTAAACTAAATAAATTAGACTTGGAAAGTCAAATATTCCATGTTTCTCTCACATGTGAAATCTAGGGAGGAAAAGAGAGACTTTTTTTTTTGTCTTTTTGAGACAGGGTTTCGCTATGCAGTTCAGGCTGGACTTGAGCTCACTTTGTAGCCCATGCTGGCCCTGAACTCCCAAAAATCCTCCTGTCTCTGCCTCCCAAGTGCTGGGATTACAGGCATGCACCACCACGCCCAGCTGAGAGAGACCATTAAAGAAGTGAATCAGGCACTGAGGAGGTAATAGGAAGGGAATAATGGAGAATGAAAAATTAAATTATGATAAATGCATTTAAAATTTGTCAAGGCAAAGTCTATTCTGTATAACCAATATGAACTAATAATAAAGCTCACAAACATAACAAATTGAAACACAACTCTGTTTCATTGATCATTTCTATTTTTGATTTAGTTTCGAATTTATTTACTTCTTCTGAAATTTATCACTTGTTTCCTTCTACTAATTCCTTCTAGTAATTTTTCTTTGGTTTGTTCTGTTTTTTCTAAGCATTTGAAGAGCACTCTTAGTTTCTTTGAGATAGCACTTTCTTTTTTAGTGTATGTATTCATTGCTATTAACTTTCCTTTTAGGATTGCTTTTGATATATCTCCAAATTTCTGATAGATTGTATTGTAATTTTCACTCTGTAGAATGTTTTCTTTCTTTCTCTTTAACTATTCTAAATATCATTGGTCGTATAGGACCCTGCTATTAAATTTCTACCTTTTTTTTTGCATTCTGCCTATTGTTGATATATAGTTTTATTCCACTGTGGAAGGAAAAGATATGTGATATGATTTTAAGTTTTAAAAATTTATATATATCTGCTTTCTGCTCTCAATATGAGACAAATGTGTTATGTTGCTGTTGGACCAAATGTTTTGTAAATGACTACTAACTTGATTTATTTATAGTATGCAAACTTGGGTTTTTTTTATAACTCTCTGCTGAGGAAATGGAAGTATTTAATTCTATTATTGTATAAGTCTCTCTCTTTAGTTGAAACACTACTTGATTTATATATTTCTGTAGTCTCATGTTTAATGCATATATATTTAAAATTGTCACATCTTCTTGTGAAATTGAATTGCTTATAAATATTTAATGACTTTTCAGAGTTTTTAAACTTAAATTCTACTTTATCTGATAGGTAGTCTTGTTTGGCTTTGATTTTAATTTGCATGATATATCTTTTTCCAAACCTTAACTTTTAGTCCATGTAAATCTTTAGCAGTGAAGTGAGTCCAGTTCACAGGCCTTTAAGATAAGATTAACTGCAGAGGATTTTGGAGGAGAGTGAACTAGTGATGGCTGGTATTTTTGATTGGAGGATGAAAACTCTTCCTGCTTTTCACAATGAATCAATGGATACCCTAAGGCAGGAGATTTGCTAATGCTCAACATTACCCAGATATATAGGATAACAATATTAATTTACCTAAAGTTATATTAACCCTTTTAAAATCTAGTGAAAGCATTTAATTCTACATCCTCCTAAAGCAGAATCACACATATTAATGATCCATGGCATAAAATACAAGATTTTACCTTCTTATTTGTTCCAGAATTACTATCCTGTGATTTTTTTAATATACGTTCATTTGTTCTTGTATGAAAGGACAACTTAAAGGAATATTGACGCTGTCAGTGTAACTGCAGAGTTAATATGGTCTTCTTTAACTTTATTAATATTTAAGCTGAAGATGGCTGCTTTGTACTTCCAATACCCTGTGAAGGATCTATTCCTCAGCAGAACATCCTGTTTTCCCTTACTCTAGCAGTTGGCCAGAAAATCCCTTGATCTGTGACTATTCTGTACTGCCAGACTGAAACACCATTTCTGAAACTACAGCAATTCTGCTAAACAATTTTTCTAGGACTGGTGCCATATCTCTAGCTACTTGGCTTTGCCAAAAGGCAATACTCCTTCCATGGCCCCAGCTCTGGGACTCATACCAAATGGTGGTTCAGACTGAGGGTAGGCAGTAAATCAGCAGTAAAAGCTAAAAAATGTGGCAGCTTTTCATACCTTTTTATCTGTTTTCCAGATGATTGGTCTATCTCTCTCACCTTCTGCTTCTATTCATGAAAGAAGCCTTCATTCCCCTTCATTTGTGGCTTGATGGTAGTATATTCACTTGACAGCACCTTCCTCAATTGTGAGAGAAAATTCACACCTTTCGAAGCTACTGCAATCAGGTTTCCTAGGATTGCAGTCTTCTCCAGCACCTATGTGCAACTGCGCAATGCCTGATAGAGTTGGAGGGTGTGATGAGTGAGAAATTGGCCTGAACAAAGTGTCAGACAGTAGAACGGGAGCCAGGAGAGAGGTTCAAAGCAGTGGGCAGAAGGCATCTCTCACAAACATCCAGTCTGACTGAAGGCTGCCTTCTGGTTCAAACCTTCCTGGAAGCTGAGGCAGAGAAGCTGTGAGCTGCTCTGGCCAGGAGAGCCTAACTGCGCTGCCTGCTTTTAATGATGTATAAAACTACGAACCTATCCTTGGGGATCATAGCTTTGTGGTGTTTCTTGGATGTGAAAATTAAAGTCATCTTCCTCTGCTCCGTACACTTCTGAGCAAATACTGTTGGCTCATCATTGGCCTGCCTTCCCTTTCTCCCTCCTTTCCTCCTTTGTTGGTTCTTGTTTTCTTGCCTTTCTTCTTTCCCTACCTTTTCGCTCTCTACCCTCCTCTCTTTCTTAAGACTTGGTTGCCTAGGGTAAAGTGTGTTGCATTTCTGCTGACTTAATTACCATTCCTAGTAAGCCAGACACAGCTATTATTTCCCCATGTACATGCAGTGGAGGGGGGCAGAGAAATACACATATTAAGAAAATGCCTTATTTAAGAACTGACACTTCATCTTTTAGTTAATGCTATTGTGACTTGGTATTACCTAATATACTTCTGGGTATTTGATTTCAAAAGAAATACTGGTTTTGTATACTGAGATTTCAAGTATCCACCTAAAGAGAGCAGAGACTGATAAACAGGAAGCTCTCCCCCGTCTCTCTTTGCATATATGTAAATTAAATTTAAAAATACATACATATTTCTAATGATCTGCTGTCACACAAGTGAACCCCAAAGAACTGAAGTGTTTAGGAGTCCTCTCTTAATCTGGTCAATATGGAGTTCTGCATCTCTTGCTCAGTGACTGTTTCCCCAGCAGGTAGTGAACCCTTGAGACCACCTTGATTTTACGTCTCTCTTGGACTTAAAGATTGTTTCCTACAGGCACAGTACTTTCCTTGCTGGAATTTCATTCAGTTTTCCTTGTTTCTACTTTAGAAAACATGCCACATGAACAAAGATGCCACAGGCAAAGCAATCAGTCCAGTCTTACCATTTAAACTTAGCACAAATCCTGCTTTCGCTTGCATTTGCAATTTGCCAGTGCACTTGGTAGGAACTCTGCCCACACATGAACTGACAGAATCGGAGCTCCCAAGTTAGCAATTATTAAAATGTAAAGGTCCATTAATTCATTTTAGGAATAGTTTTTTCAGTTGCTTCTGAGGCAGAGTCCTGAGTTGCCTTCCCTGTTTCTGCCCCTGTAGGCATCCAGATCTGACAGTAGCTCCCAGTTCTAAATATCCTCATTGTTTAAAGTACTACATGAGAGCAAAATGAGACAGTAAGGTCAGTCTCACAGCCTTAGTGGAGTGAAAATTAGAAGTCAATAATTCTGAGAACATCAAAGAGAACTTAAATGGAACAGGATTTTTAAAGTGATGTTGTTGTGTGAACATTTTGGAAAATGTTATCCATGGTGCGGAAGAAAATTAAAGGGCTACTTACATCAGTTACAGTAAAAAACCTGGAACTTTCCTAAATTTGGGATCCCAAAATAAATATTTCTATTTGTTAGCTTAATTGACAAGGCATCAGGATTGGATTTTTGTCTTGGAAAGGGGAATACTGCTCTTTCTTTTATCGTAGTGAATTAATAGAGAGTAAGTGGAAAACACATTGTGCAAAGATGTGAAATATGGACTCCTGAGTAGTTGAGGAAAATTTTAAAACACGGTAATAGTGGGAAGTCTCTAAATTTCTATATGTGCGAATCTGACAGCTTATGGTAGTAGGATCAGTCGTAAATTTAATAGCAAGCCCCATCATGCCGCTACAGGAGGAAGGAAGGCAAGAGGAAAATTTTTTATAAGCACATGGCAACCACACCCCTCCAACATGTAGGAGTGGGGGAAAACCAGACTGGCAACCCGTGTTTCCAATACGAACGGAGTGAAACCTTCAGGAGAGGCGGGGGAGGGGTTTCTTTTAAAGGTCTCCTTTGCAGATAAAAGGGCCCCGTCCTAGCTCTTAGATTTTAGAGATGCAGAAAATGACAAGCAAAGTTTTGGATTCATCGCTTGATTTTCACGAGATAAAAGTCTTAAAGGTGTAGCTCTCTCCGTCCCAAGAGAATGTGCAAAGGGAGGGAAAATAAGCTGCGTGGGTGAGGGGTGGCAGGGCAGAACCGAGGAATAGAGGAGGAGAGGCGTGAGCCAGTCTCCGGCAGGAGGGCGTGGATCCCGGCGCCAGCCAGAACAGGTCCAGCCTTCTCGCGACCGGTGCCAACAGCGGGAGGGGACAGCCGGGATCTACGTGGGCAGACCCGGTGCGGATCAGCGGGTACAGCGCGGCAAGAAACTCCAGGATCTGCTCAGAGCCGCTGGACCCTGCCGCTCCCTCTCCCCACTTCAAGCCAGCTTGGGGAGAAGTTTCCCGGAGGAAGATACCGGACCTATTGGGTGCTGGAGGCGGCTCAGGTGTGTCAATTTGCATGTCTCTCGATAGCCCTGGGGGCTCTGCCATTTCGCCCAGTAGGCAACTCTTGGGGTGCGATGGAGGGGGAATGAGGGGATCGTTCTGGAAGCAAAGGTTCAACCCTTTGCGATAGGAAATGGTGCGCAATGAGGGTCCCCATCTTTGCCCCAAATGGGGGTGATCCGAGGTCCCTCAGCCCCCAACCTGAGAAGAGACACCTCCTGTCTTAGCCCACCTCCGGTAGTATCCAGCAGCTCGGGGTGGGTGCCACGGAGTAATAGGGTCACCGGTGGGAAGACCCTCAGTCTGTCCTCGCGCTTCCCCGCCTCCGCCCCTCGGTACCCTCTTGCGCCGGTTCCTATCCTCTTGTAGATCCCAGCCCGCTCTGGGGTGCAGGGTCCAAGGTTAAGCACAGGTTGGAATCGTTTTTGGCCTCTGTCGCCCCTGCCCAGAGGTTTGGGGTTTAGGATCCCTTCCCCAGCCCGTGCTCCTAACCTCTATCTTGTTTCTATTCTCGGGAGAGGATTCCAGATCCCAGTGGGGTTTCGAAAATGCTGCCAGTCTAGAATGGAGTTCTTTGGACCACAGGGCTGTGTGTGTGTGTGTGTGTGTGTGTGTGTGTGTGTGTGTGTGTGTGTGTGCCTGTGTGCGTGTGTGTGTGTGTGTGTGTGTGTGTGTGAAAACGGAGGCGTAGATGTTCCACCTCCGGAGACCACTGTGGGGCGAGAGGGCAGCTGGCCCTGGTTGCCATGGTTCCCTGGTAGCAGAGCGCGAGGAGCTAGAGATGCCAGTCACGGATGGTCCCTTTTCCCTCTTTGTCTCTCTCTCTCTCCCCCTCTCTCTGAGGGTCTCTCTCTCCTTTACCGTGAGGTTGTGCGTGGGGAAGGAGCTGACAAATAGCGATTAATTTGGAAAGCAGGGCTGGAACCTCGAGGCTGGGCTGCCCTGGTCTCGTTATTCCCACTCCTTTTGCTCGCAGTGAGCCACATTTTCTCAGTGGGGGCCAGGTCTAAGGAATTTCTGCGAAAAACCGGGGGCCGGGGAAGCCCAGGTCACACTGGCCCAGATATTCAAGCCCAGGTGCTGCACAGGGGCGAGCGCAGAGAGGGTGGTCGTGCTGTCGGCAAAGCGGGCTGCTGGGGACCCGGTGGGAGACAGCGGAGGAGGACAGGTGTGCAGCGCCCAGCGGGGTGACTCGGCGGGAAGGGACCTGCCGCGCAGCCCTAGGGGAGGGGCGCCGGGGTTCAGCCCCTCGAGGGAGAGCTACGGAGCAGCCCGCGCAGTAGGCAAGGGTTTGGCTGGACAGGCGCGTGCGCGATGGCGCGCTCCCGCCGGGACACTCGAGTGGGTGGGACACAGGGGAGTCTGCGCGTGCGCGCGGAAATGGGCAATTGTGAAACACCTGGGTTAGCACAAGGTAGTCTCCTCTGGCAACCGTGTGAGTTCGCAGTCCAGCTCCGCCAGATCTGTGACATGTGCGTTAGAAAAGCCTTTCAGTCCACCAAAAAAAAAAAAAAAAAAAAAAAAAAAAAAAGCCTTTCAGTCCGTCCCTCACTTTCCCTTTCCCAATACTAGAGATAGTGTCTAGGCATTCTGTGTAGGACTGGTGTAAGACTGGAATGAGACAGGCCAAGTGGACAGTTTACCCCGTGTATGATGCATCACAGAGTGCAAAAGTTAGTTGTTGATTGCATTTCTTTTAACATTAGTCCACAAGTAATTGGGTGTTGTATTTTCCATTTCTCTTCACGTTTATTGAAGGCAAGGCCAAATTCTGTGCCTTCTAATTTTAAGGATTGATTTCAATATTAACATCATTACACTCTAGCCTAACGTTTAGTTCTGGCTTGTAGTAAACCGAAAGATATAAACTGACCAACTGCTGGTCAAGTTGGGCTTTCAGTATATTGATGGCTAGAGAAATTTAGAAAGCTATTTGTAGAAACTTGGCTTAACAAGAAGAGCTTATTTTGCAGCTTTGTGTGTATAATTTCATGCTTCCTCTTTTACTTGCCCTTGTTACACTTGGATTTGTTTCACGATGCTCTCTGTGATGCAACAGCTTACAGCTTTGATGATTTAACCTGATTCTAGAGTCTGTTATACACCCCCACTTTCCATTTTGTGGCGTGAAGTATGTGGATTTACCTGTAGTAAGGGCAGAGCATCACTATAATAGTTCCCTGTAAGCTCATTGTGATAGGATGAAATTGTCATTGAATACATGGAGACAAATAGTTGTTACTAGGCTGATGTGAGTATTGACTATGGCAGTTCATTAAAATCTCTTTCAGGGCATGCTACTTCACTGCACATATACAGGACTATGGTTATTAATATATATTTTCCAGGTTATTTTCTGTTCTATGTTGACTTATGTGTCCCGTCCTTTAAAGAATATAGATATTTATTGATACCTCACACTTATAAAGGTTGTAGATGTTTTTAATACTTGTACATAAATAGAAGAGTTCTATAAGTGTTCCATCTTACCTAGTGATGAGGAAGCTGTACTATGGACTTCCTTGCATGTCTGATAGGAGCTGATACTGCACATAATATATTTTATTACTTTTAAAGTAATGCATCCTATTAAATGCACCAGTTTTAAATGTTTTTAATTTGTGTTTACAAATTATAGTCATGTCCTGATAGACTCAAAGCAGATATTACTATCACAAAGATCCTCAGAGACATTGATTACAGACTTCACTTTGTAAAAGTATTTGCTGCAGATAAACATGAAATCTTTGAAGACAGGAGATTAACCTAAAATGCTTTGTTGAAATAATTTAGCTTCATTTCCTCTTATGGAGAATTAAATAGGGAAAATCATAGAGACTGATATGGGATCCTAGTAGTTTTTAACTAATAAAGAAAAATTAAATGATAGAGGGGGACTAATGGCATCAGATTTGAAGGAAAGATTGTCAGGAAATTCTGGGAGCATCTATTCAGGAAATAGAGCATTGCTGCAAGTTTGGCTTTTGCTTCCCTCTCATCTTCACAGTGAGTATGTCATCTTTAAAAGGTACCTTGAGGAATTAGTGTGACAGCCCATCTAAAACTCATGGGAAGGGGCTGGGGATTTAGCTCAGCGGCAAAAGCACCTGCCTGGCAAGCACAAGGTCGTGAGTTCGGTTCCCGGTACCGATAATTTACGTATTGTTTCTCAGGGGATTTGGCGTTAAATGTTCCGTTTATTAGGAATTATTTGGCCCTTTGATTTACGACAGACAACTGTGCAATACAGTCCAACGTATTTTAGCAGCAAAATTTAGCTTTTAGCCATTTTATATTTCCTTTAAAAATCTAAACAGTAGTGCATTTGGAAGGCTTAACTTAATTGGAAACAAAGGACATAAATAGGAAAACATGACAGATGCTAAGGAGGCATTGAGTCCTGAATTCAGGGAGACAGTTAACACGCAAAGGTGTAATCAAGAAGATGAACTTGTCTCTGCTCGAAGGCTATTTTCAGCAAGAAGCTGTGTCATCCGATTCAATCAGCATTCATTGTTATTTTTTCAAACCAAGTCTGAGAATACCATATTTTCAATTAGGAGCATTTTGATTACAGCTCCTTCTAACTAATTCAGTCTGAAGAGAATGCAATTATTACGGTGATTTACATACAATATGCTAAGTTAACACAGCTAATGAGTGAAAGCATCATATTCTTTCTATTCATTCCTGGAAAAACATTGTGCTAAGCATTCTTTCAAAGAAAAGATTACATTATTCCCCAGCATTTTATGCCTACCTACAAGTAGAATTGGCACTGAGCCATTTTCTCTGCTATTAAAGTGAAATCCCTCACATTTTGGTGATCACAAGTCTCTTCCCCTCCCCTTGGGAAGGACTGGAAACAATTCTCAATTTAATTAGATATGGTGCTTTCTCTTTTCTGTACATCTTTATTAGAGGAAAGAGCCTGTATTTTCTAATTTTGGAGGCTGGTTAACACCTTAAACATTACTAATTGCTGGAGTTTATTTTATGTGTGTTGCAATAGTGTAGTTAGTTAATTAGAGTTTTCTCATTAGCACCACGTAGAGAATAATGAATTAACACATCCGTCTGATCAAAAGAACATCTAAGTTTATCTTCTGAGAATAAAAGTGTTATTGTGTTACCAAAAGTCACTATAATTTTCCCAAGAAGTAAATTGCTTGGAATTCTCCAGCACCGGGTTTCGGAAGCTTGATGAATGAGTTGGATTAATCACAAACAAGAGAGAGTAGAGCTGTGGTTGCCTGGCAACCCAACATTATTCTGCAATTTCTTCTGGTATATTTATCCAGTAAACTAGAAAATTCTGTTTTGTTAACGAATGTTTTTAGTCAGTGCACAAATAGACCATAACTAATTGAGATTTTATGTATTGTGGATAAAAAATGATCCTGCTTACCTTCCCATTGTATTTGGATAACAACAACACAAAGAAGCAGATTCGGCTTTCAACTTTAAAAATTTTCTCTAAAGAATGTTGATTTCATTTTCATATAATTTGTTCCTCCCAAAGAATACAATTTGTTTATCCCTTTGAAAGTCAAATTATTAGGAGTGTGGGTGTGCTTATAAAAAATTCAGTAAGAATAAAATGAATTCTTCCAAATTCCTGGTTTGCCATTCGAACTGACAATTAGGTCATATTAGGGTAGGTATAATATTCACTTCAAATGATGGTAGCAGATTATCATAATGATATAACCGTAATTAATTTGGCAAATAGGTGAATACACCCTGTGTGTTGACCAGGGTTGCTTTTCCTGATGGTCTTATCACATTCTCTCCCTTGTAAAGTTTGGCTCTATCTTACTTTTTCTGTAATTGCAGATGTGAGAACTCCGCAAAGCAATTATTTCCACATCTTCTGATCCATTTCTTCCTAACTCCAGGGACTACAATCAGGCCATTTTCCTATACAGCCTATGAATTTTAGTGTGCATCACAATTCCTTTCTCATGTCATAAACTCTGAGGACCCAAGTTCCATTTTA